TACTGAATCATTATAATATTTCCATATGAATGGATTGGGTACAGCTGGTGGACTACTCATACTATTTACACCAACAGACACTGCTTGTATTCCATGTTTCAATAAACTTGGTATCACTGTCTGTGTAATTCCTGAAATATAAAACTACAAAGTCATGTTTTTATATACTACTAAACATGTAAATTTGTCTTGTGTTTTGAATGAGACTATAAACTAGCTGATTTCTATGCAATCATACTTGTTGAGCCTCCACTGTATTCTGTGATGCTATTGGTTAGAACATGTTCAACTGACGCAAGTATTAAAATGAATATTAATGAGCTCATGAATATTAATTAGCAACTGACACTCAAGTCAGGCTGGGCAGAACCCTGCATATATAATGGAATTTTCATCACATACCACTGTGCATGGATATCTAAGTTGCATACCTTTCATCACATACCACTGTGCATGGAGTTGCATACCTTTCATCACTTTTTTAAAAAGTATTTACTAATAGTTATCTTTCAAAAAAAATAGTAAATTAAATACCAAACATACCTGGAACATCACGCTGACTAAGAACTCTGTTTTTTCTCACAATTCCAAATCTTTTATCCAAGTCTTCGCTGATAGTCAAAGAATACTCAAAAAGTGATTTGTCAATATTATCTGTCTGCAAGTTCATTGGTCCAGCATGCCACGTTATGTCACCTCGCTTGACTGCTTTTTTAAAACGATTCTTGTCTTCTTTTGATGGACACTTTTAATTAAAAACAAAATTGAAATGGTGTGAGTAAGTCTTTAAATTTTTTCACAAATAAGAATTATGCAATAACACAGAACTTTACTAATGTTTATAAAAGAAGTTATGAATTCACACTTTGCATCTACTGAGCATGTTACTGAGCATAGGAATAATGCATTGTGGGAAAAAGTTCACACTTTGCATCTACTGAGCATAGGAATAATGCATTGTGGGAAAAGGTTCACGCTTTGCATCTACTGAGCATGTAACTGAGCATAGGAATAATGCATTGTGGGAAAAAGTTCACGCTTTGCAACTACTGAGCATGTAACTGAACATATGAATATATAAAGCATTGTGGGAAAAAGTTCAAGCATTACATCTACTGAGCATGTTACTGAGCATAGGAATAATGAATTATGGGGAAAAAGTTCAAGCATTGCATCCACTGAGCATGTTACTGAGCATAGGAATAATGCACTGTGGCAAAAAGTTCAAGCATTGCATCTACTGAGCATGTTACTGAGCATAGGAATAATGCACTGTGGCAAAAAGTTCAAGCATTGCATCTACTGAGCATGTTACTGAGCATAGGAATAATGCACTGTGGCAAAAAGTTCAAGCATTGCATCTACTGAGCATGTTACTGAGCATAGGAATAATGCACTGTGGCAAAAAGTTCAAGCATTGCATCTACTGAGCATGTTACTGAGCATAGGAATAATGCACTGTGGCAAAAAGTTCAAGCATTGCATCTACTGAGCATGTTACTGAGCATAGGAATAATGCACTGTGGCAAAAAGTTCAAGCATTGCATCTACTGAGCATGTTACTGAGCATAGGAATAATGCACTGTGGCAAAAAGTTCAAGCATTGCATCTACTGAGCATGTTACTGAGCATAGGAATAATGCACTGTGGCAAAAAGTTCAAGCATTGCATCTACTGAGCATGTTACTGAGCATAGGAATAATGCACTGTGGCAAAAAGTTCAAGCATTGCATCTACTGAGCATGTTACTGAGCATAGGAATAATGCACTGTGGCAAAAAGTTCAAGCATTGCATCTACTGAGCATGTTACTGAGCATAGGAATAATGCACTGTGGGAAAAAGGTTCAAGCATTGCATCTACTGAGCATAGGAATAATGCATTGTGGGAAAAAGGTTCAAGCATTGCATCTACTGAGCATGTTACTGAGCATAGGAATAATTCATTGTGGGAAAAGGTTCAAACATTGCATCTCCTGATCATTAACTTAGCTTATGAATTATGGGATGAACTTTAAAATTAAATATATATATTATCACACTGGAAACTCTAAATTGTAAATCAGAATTCATATCAATACATGAATCCTTCATCTGATGTCCTTGTGTATAATTTCTAGTTATAATAGGAACCAATGCAAAAATCATTTTTTCAAGAAAATTCACTCTTTGTATAAAATAATTGTCACTTTTTCATGTATTGATATACAAAAATGATTTGATAAAACTGTGTCAAAGTGTTTAATCTGTGTTTGTTTCTCTCAGTTGACTGTGTGCTTAGCATGATCACTTTACACACGGTTACTAAAAAAAACGATATTGTTAAGAGGTGTGACTCTGCCTAATCCCTCAAGGATGTGTGTCGCGCTGTGTATGCCATCTATCGCTTGAGATTTCAAGGCCCACCATTTTGTTTCTTTCTTGTGTCGATCACTTGATGTCCCGTGAACTTGAAATTTTCAGCTCGTTTTCGATAGAATATCCACATTTAGTGCACAGGCTCTACGAAGAACTATACGTACAATTCGCATGAGTACTCTTGTGACTGTAATAACATTCAGAATCGAGAATCGTCATTTATCGTTTTCACTGTTGAAAGTAGGCTTGGGTTTCGGAAGAAAAACAAAAATTCTAAATCTAATTTTAAAATGCATATTATAAAAAATACTACCAAATCAATTTTTAGTATACTACTGTGCATACTTATGACGGTTGTATGTGATACGGGGGCTTATTAGAGTAAATGTTATCGTTGTGCTTTCGTGTCACTGAATCAGCCATTTTGTTTAAAGTCTTTACACTTTTTTTGTAGACACCGTAGAGCATGTGGAGCATGGGTGGGTCATTTCAGTTATCTTATCACATATTTCAAACCAAATGTATGTGGTATCATGACTCCTCATTAAAACTTTCGCATGGCTGAAATATAAACATTTGTATGGTTTCTTTGACATCTTTTTTTCTGATCATGTGTTGTTGGTTTTTTTATTTCAGTTTTCTGCTGATCTTGTTCTTTAGAAACGAAAATGCCATACAAGACTGGCAAATTTGTATTGAGTTTGTCAGGATTCACTGGAACAACTTACAATTTAGTAACTTAAAACATTGACACAGATGAACAATAAAATGGCGTGCAGTTGTTGATTGCAATGAACTCTGGAAAAACTGATGTCATATTTGCGTGATTTCCTGTCTACATTTTATGTTAATGATTAGCCTATCTTTATCACAGATTAGTACGTCTTTTGTTTCAAATGTTTACCCACGACACGCAGCCGATGAAAAGAACATGGTTTGTTTCCTAACCGTCTTTTTTAGTAACCGTGCCTTACATAAAGGATGTTATAGTTTGATCTCCTAGTTGTCTGCTAAGTATAAATTCATCAGAGTACATTCTACTCAGATAACTAAACACGTGGTATTAGGTTTGGGAGATGGGAATGACAATAACTGGTCAGTCCTGAGTGCTAGTCTATTCTACACCAGACATGATAAAATGATAGAATAAAAGTATACTCATAACAAGTAGCTTATTCCCTGAGAGAGATGTCTGAAAAAAGTCTCACATATGAATAAACGTTTATACAAGAAAAGAGAAAAGCATGAGATTTTTAAGTAATGTGATGCTACAAATAAAACATATGATCTAATCTGTGCACAACTTACTATAAGTTTAATACCAGCAAGTTCTAAACTGGGAGGGCAGTCTAAATAAAGACTGACCAGCCATGGATGGGTCGTATAAATGAACGTCTCATTACCACCAAGTAAACGCAGAGTGTTCGCAATTCGGATTGCTCTTGGGTAGTAAATATTAAAATATTGGTTCAGCACATTATTTACAAATCCCTTCTCGGTGGTAAGACCATTGTAGCCAACATCTATTAAGTAATGCGGAAAAAAATTAACAATTAGCTTTGTGGTTGCTGTGGTTACAGTCATCATTGTACCATACTTCTAAACCTCTGTAAACAGTTTTGGTTTTTTTAAAACAATTTTGCAATTTAGTGAAAATTTCTCTTAGGTTCTCAAGTGTCAGCGTCTATTGCTAAAAATTTAGCCGTCATGAATCGTGATCTTCCTCACAGTAACAAATTTGATCATATGACTATACAAATCCTGCTCGACTAATACCTATTAGAACACACCTCATGCCTTTACAAAAACATATGTCATATCTTGTGTCCACGCACGTTGGTTGAAATTGTGTGAGTCGCAGCTTTTTTTTCATTTTTCTCTTAGAATTTCAAGAAGCATGAAAACAAGAACACATTTTTCAGAAAAAGACATCAATTTGAAAACGTGTCTGTGCACAATGAGGTCACTGAGAAGCTTGGTAAGATTACAACAACTTGGTGTGGTCATTGAACATGTTGGTGATGTTACTGGTCAATGAGATCACTGAGCAAGGTTAACAAGCAAAAGGACGTTCATATTCAAGTTTGATTTTTTAACATGACTTGATTTATGAGGATAGATGCGCAGTGAGTTTCTGGAACAGCAATAGAAGAGAGATGGTGAAATCCACATCACCATGGCAACAAATCAACTCACCCAAATGGTTCATGTATACAATGTGAACATGGTTGATATCCTGAACTTTGACCCAAGAGTTTCCATCCTCCCATAATATGTGGCCACAGTTTATCACTTTTCCATAGTAGCACTCGTCTGTAGAAACTACCTATAGTGAGACAAACCACTTTGCTATGACTCATGTCAATGACATTCATTTGATTAAATCTACATACATTTGAATGGCTAATAAGATAAACTACCTATAGTGAGGCAAAACACTTTGCTATGACTCATGTCAATGACAATAATTTGATTAAATCTACATACATTTGAATGGCTAATAAGATAAACTACCTATACTGAAACAAAACACTTTGCTATGACTCACGTCAATGACAATAATTTGATTAAATCTACATACATTTGAATGGCTAATAAGATAAACTAC